AGTGACTCGTACGAATAATCGAGGAATTTCAAAAGACTGTCATTCGAGGGGAGCGTGCAAGTGGTACCCGGACAGTCGACTGCTGCCGCAGCCAGCCGCCGGAGCTGCCTACAAGGTCACTGCAGATGGCACAGTAACTAGCTCGTCATCTAAGCTCTTGCCTAGAGGTTTCCTCGCACCTCTTTGTGCTGAGGCGCGATATCAGCTTCAGGGATGGTATAATATCCTCGATATCTTTATCATTTTGACCAGCAAAAAATTCTTATTTTCTCAGACCATGCAATCGAACACAAAACTACACCGGAAAGTTTCCAAAAAATTACAAACACTCATAAAAATGAATGAACAGGCAATTGAACTCACTTTTCCATGGATATTTCAGAATTTGAAATGCTTTTGAATTTTGAAATGTTTATGGAAACGTGAGTTTAACTGAATCATCTTTTGTTTTGCCACGAATTCTGTGTTTAAAACTTTTTTCTTATTGTTTTTTCTCAGAAGATCTGGAGGATGAATTTTCCGCGTAAGCGAGCCTGATTATCTTGTTGGCACTATATAGAATAGTAAAACACTTTAATTTTTTGGTGATGTACGCTGTTTCTTTTTATATCAACATAGGTGGCTTTTCACCTTTTATCACTGATCGACCACTAGCTTAATCAGATCGCTTAACATCGCTAGATAATGAATTCAAGTTTCAATAGACTAATCTTACGGTTATATCCATGACATATTGCTGTAAATGTCTTCGTCCGTTGTTCGACGCTAAAAGCCAAACAAATGGATTTTCAGCAACTAAAGATTCCCTGAATTTTCCAGCTTCTAGTGATTTTGAGTAGTCAAATTGATTTGATTTTATGACCAATTTCCTTTAGAAGAAACCTTTTCTGTATAACTTTGTTAGTTTGCATGGTTCTCAAGTTATGAATTTTCTGTTCAAAATAATGTAGATATAGAGGACATCAGGCTTTCCTTAGGCTGATATCGCGCCTCAGCACAAAGAGGTGCGAGGAAACCTCTAGGCAAGAGCTTAGATGACGAGCGTAGTTACTGTACCATTTGCAGCGGCTTTGCCAGCTCCAGCTGCTGGCTGCGGCAGCAGTCAACTGCCCGGGTACCACTTGCTACGCACCCTCATTCGAGTATTGGAATATTCGAGAAATTTTGAATACAGTTGTTTGAATATCCGAATATTCGAGCAAGCGAAAAGTAAGTATTCGTACTCGAGTGTTAAAATGTTTCGCATGTTTCTTAGGCGAGCTTTCTTGCGTAGTCTCATTCGAGTATTGGAATATTCGAGAAATTTTGAATACAGTTGTTTGAATATCCGAATATTCGAGCAAGCGAAAAGTAAGTATTCGTACTCGAGTGTTAAAATGTTTCGCATGTTTCTTAGGCGAGCTTTCTTGCGTAGTCTTAGCATTGGAACTTTTGAATGTTCAAGTAATCAAATATTCGAATATTTGACGCTATCCAGTTGTTCAGTAATTCAAATAGTCGGATCAAGTAGTTATTCGAATATTCGAAATTCGGAATTTGGAATGTGCCCATATTGAAAATTCGAGTTCGAATGATATGAAAACTGGAAATCGAGCGATATCGCTCATTCGAAAATCTTTCGAAAATTAGCTATTCGATATCTATTCGTTTGATACTTTTTTGAAAATCAACTATTCGATATTCTTTCCTTCGACGAAAATTTCCATCCGTTACAACTATGTTATAGACTCCCTTGTGCGTGAACCGATGAGACTGGAATTCGCCTCCCTCTAGACGAGGCACGGCGTAGAAGAAAGATACTTTTTGCAGCTACTCGCTGAGCTCTTCTATCGACTTATTGTCGTAACCTAAGTAGCGGAACGAAGGCGTATCGAACATCACGTCCTACTGTAAGCCTCTTTCAGTAAAGCATGGTGAAAAGCACTGACAAATAAAGTCTTACTTTTTGTCTATAATTGCAAGATAAATTTATTTTATGGTGCGAATGGTGTCAACGCAAGCTGAAACAACTATTATGATATTGGTGTGCGTCAGTCATTTTGTTTCCTAAAATAGCAGCTACAAAAAATGAAAGCGCTGATCTCTGCCTATAATCAGCCAGCCAAATTTATAAGTTGGGGATACTTTTTAACACGAATGTTTTGAAGAATCTTTTTGAGATACCTTTTCTCTGAAGTAAAGCACAGAGGAAGCACAATTGTCTTTTGAGCTTGCTAGAGAAGGGTAGTGTGAGCGCAGTACAAAGTATCGGATCCCACAAAAATTAGCGTCAAACATTGTGAGTGGGAGTGGAGCAGTTGGTCAGCGGCAAAGGACCACCACAAAAAATGATACTTGTAACAGCAACGGATGGTATGCTACTCAATCGTGCACCTGCCCTCTGCAGTGCTTGACCCAAGAGTTTGTAGTCTTTCATATCTCTATTCGAAATCCGGGTACACCAGCTAATGTATCTGATTCAACAGAATTGGCGGTTGGAGGGCGGGGCTGCTTGGGCTCTGCAGCTCTTTCGTGAACGTGCTCTCTGATCAATTTTCCACCACAAACGTGTGAAGGGCGGAGCTCCATTCACTAGAAAGCCCGATCCGAAAGAGATGCAAAGCGCCAGGCGAGGCGGCCGCGCAGACTGAGCTCCACCCACTAACCGCCAGTCTTTTTGAATCAAAGGGTAAAATTAAAACTGAGCCACTTCTCATGTATCCTTCACATCCGATCCAAGGAACTTTGCCAAAATTGATTGCTTACCTCTTTGTTGACTCTTAAAGGCAAATAAAGGCAGTGGATCAGCAAAATCCAACAACTCAGGATTTTAACGCGGTGTGCTGAGGCCGGATTTGACCCCCGGCCTCAGCACTCAGATCATCGATTCATCGATTTGCGCGCCAAAAGCTACCCATTTAAGGAGCCGGTGCAGGGGCCATGGACAGCCATCGACGTTCAGCCACGACTCGCATCTACCATATTCTATTGTATGTCATCTTTTCGCTTTGTCGCATTTTATCACGTTAGTCGCCTCTGTTTTGGTATTTTTGCCTCATTCATTCGATATTTTGCCTCATGTATTCGATACTCCGGCTCCAGGAGTTTTGACATATCCTCATAATGTTGAAGTATTGCAAGTTTCCTGCCTGGGAGCCGTTTTGTTATTTGAATTTTGATATTGTTCGTTTCTGTTTTCTAAGTTAGACCATTCCTAGTGCCCATATGTTACAGTTGCTCATAATCGATACTCACACTTACGAAGTTCTACCATCCTTAGGTTATTCACTCAATACTGGAATGTTAATCGTATTTGGTTTTGTTCGTATTTGTGTTGTTGATTCTATTTTTGAATAAATAGGGTTTAATTACCCAAGTTTGAGGTGTTTGGTGTGGATTGGTGATTCTGCGGTTGCCCCCGCGAGTACTTCGGTCAATTCTATTATTCTCTGTTACTATTCCGATCGTTCAGTATTACGCGTGGCAGTGCTCTAGCTCGAACCAAGTGACACGAAGAAATCAACGAGAACCGTTTTCCACTACGAAGCCCGACCAGTCGAAAAGGTGGGAAGTTTCTAACTAAGAGTCTTTCCCCTTTTTTCCTCTTCCTTTTCGGTCACTTTTTTCTCTTCGATAAATTTTGGAATTGGCCCTCCCCCCTTTTGACCTTTCCGGGGGACCCCTCACACGCGGTAGGTTCCTTATCGCTCAAGTATGAAAACAGTGCAATCCCGGTTGCACAGCATGCTTTTGCTGCCGAGAAAATCGTTCTCAAACTTACACGCGCAGGCCAATCTTACACGCATGCGGACGAGTTGGCAATTTCCTTCTCACCATTGGAGACTGCCCGCCGCAACGCTATAACCATTGAGTCCTGCAACGATTTAGCGTCATCGACCTTGCTTCACTCGTCCAATTCCAAAGGGAAGGGCATTGAAAACGCTTATTTTCCCCGTTTTCAAGCTTTCAAAAGTGGATTTTCGGGATTAGCGTATTGGAAAACCCCAGGTAAGCCCAAATTTGACTAGGTTGAGATTTGCCGAGCCGCTGCCTTTATGTTGCTAATCGAGTGATAAGCTTTTCTTAACAAATCTCATGCTCCAGAAATGACGACAGCTCTCAGAAAATACTGCATCATCGCTTCTTAACAGAGTGTACGATGCTGAAGGAGCCGCTCTTTAGAGGTCTGGCCAATCTGAGTGGCAATCTGCTTGCCACCGACGATTGTCTAAACAGGTAGCAGCACCTAATTTGTTGTGTTTACACGCAATGGAAAGTGGGGCTAAATTAAGAAGTTAAAAGTTTACGTAATGGAGAATCTGTTTCAAGACTCGTCCTCTTTCTGCTCGGATCTCGGCTGGCATCGAGTATTTGTGCTTCGAGGCAGTGGCTCAGCAAAATTGAACATTTCAAAATCTTGATAAGGTAGGCTGCTTACATTCCAAATATGAAACAGAGCAAATCCAAGCGCACGCGTGCTGCCCCTGCCAAGAGAACTGTCCCAAACGCGTGTGCGCATACCTTCTTGCACGCACTCGGACAACCTCGCGATTTCCCTTTCATCGTTGAAAGCGGCATGCCGCAATATTAACCATAAGAATCCTGCAACGACTTTGCATCTCTGTAGCTAGCGCGGCAGGAGTTTCAAACGTCCAAATTCAGAATGAAGGGCCTTAGGATATGCTGATTTGCGCCATTTTCGTGTTTTCCGAGGTAGATCGTCGGAATCAGCGCGTTAGACCTCAGGTCAGAAATAAAGTTTCGCTCGAGTTATTGAGTCAAGGAGATTCGTTTCCCAGAACATTGATGCTCGGCTCTGCGGCATTATTGTTGATTCTTCTTCCAAGTCTGATTGTCATCTTTATGCTGGGCCTATCTGCCTCCAACCAATGCTTCCCAATCTGCGTCGCCAACACTGATAACCGCTTAGTTCGTGGGTCGTAAGATAGGACCGTACCGCCTTCGATACGAGAAAAAATGTGATGCGACTATTTTGTGTAGGTTCATTTTTAGTTTCCAGTGGTTGATTACGGTTCGCTAAAATACATGAGATGCCTACAACAATTCTTACTCTATTAGCATGTGCGTATTTGACATTCAGCGTAGGCTCATCTAGCATAATACTTTAGATTTGGTGTTCTATGTGGTAATGATGTGTTGCACAATTATAACCTGTGGAGCTGATAAGAACAGAGAAAAAGTGCATGTTGAAAGACGTCAGGTTAGCTTAGTTACAGTGTAGCATTATTTACTCATTTTCTTCGCCAGGAGCTCAAAAGCATGCAGAGGGATGCGATGTTGTCTGGACGCCCTGTGCAAACGGTCATCGAAGAAGTTGAGCCACTTATGATTCGTTCAACATCAAGGTAAAAGAGGAATGACACGTATTGTAACGTATTGTACACAATTCAACGATAGACAATGTAGTCGTGGCTGTAACTTTAACCTAAAAACGTAGTCTAGTTACCACCTCAGACCCCGGACAGACTTCACGCGATTTGATCGCCGCGACTCAATCGCCAACATTTCCATTCATTTTCATTTCACATTCAAAAATTTCGGGCTGGAAAAGTATCACAACCGAAATGCAAGTTGGTCGGCATGGAATGATGTTGTAAGAGTTGTCTCGTCGCGATTCAGTCGCGACGATCAAATCGCGTGAAGTCTGTTCGGGGCCTCAGGCGCAAACTTGGCTAGACAAACTTCGGAGAACTCCATAAGGCCTCGAATAGAGTTTACGCGATTTGATCGTCGCGATTCAATCGCTACAAGACAAGTGTTACGAATTCATTGCATGCCGATCTTCTTGTATTTCGGTTGTGATAGTTAGTCACGATTAGTCCTGTTGGAAAACTATCACAACCGATATACAAGAAGATCGGCATGCATTGAACTCGTAACACTTGTCTTGTAGCGATTGAATCGCAACGATCGAATGGCTTGTCGACTGACTGTGAAAGAAAATTGACTCTGTCCGAGACCTAAGACTAAGCAGCATACCCCCTTGTGCGGTGATGATTATGAGACTTTTCAATCTTGCTATACCTAACAGGTTTATCTTTGGCCATTCTTTACCCTGTTACCCGTGTCACCGGTGTGTTACCAGTGTTACTCACGTTACTAGTGTTACCCTTGTTACCAACGTTACCCGTGTTACTGGTGTTACTAGTGTTATTCCTGTTACTGGTGTTACCGCTTTTATTGCTGCTGAGTATTGAAATGATCACCAATACCGTCTCATTCTTTCGGATGCCGTTTCACCAAGTGGTGGGTATTTGTATTGCACTGATGACCAATGTACTCAGATAATCGGGGGCAGGCGGTCCGCAAACTCGCGCTTTTCTGCAAGCGGTCAGTAGAAATTTGGGGCGTGGCCAAACCTTCAGCGAGCGGTACTTCCTTTACTGTCTAATGTTCTGCCAACGGGCAGCAACACAGAATTTTCTGCAGGGGCTCGTCAAATCTTTTTCAGCAAACGCTGGACGAACTTTCAGCAGGCGCTCGGACTCTTCTAGCGCGTTTCGGGCTCACGTCGAGCACAGGTAAGACTCTGTGTGGCAGAGGTGTCACCGTTGGTTTAATACTCAAGTTTGAGGTACCTTTTCTCAGCGGAAAGGAGGCTGCGCGGTCCTCCACAAAGGATCGCGCGGCCCCCAAAAATTTTGCATCTCGCGGAAAGTCCGCGAGAATGCGGCCACTGCGCCGCAGCTATTCTATAAAAAAACCGCGATTGTTCTTCAAGCATTAGTCTGAAAATTCGCTAAAATTCCTCCAAACATCTGCAAGCGGACCGCGAGAAATCAGTGAACTATTTTTCTGGTGCCCGCCCGCCCATAAATCGCATGGCCGCCTGCCCAGGGCGATTATGTGAGTACTCAGTCAAAAGTAAAGGACGAGCGGCCACAAATACCGGCCGAGCGAATCAACTTTTCCGGCTCGTCCGGTGAACGTGTGCGCCCGGCCGGTAGCAACGATCCGGTCATTGTGGGAGCTCCCCCGCCAGCATTCTCGTCGCAGTCCGCTCGGCCGGTCCTTTGTGGAAGCTAAGACACTCGTTGTGGACGGTCGTCCGGTCGTTGCAGCCGCTCACCCGGCCTTTGTGACCGCTCACACGGACTTTCTAACCTGTAGCCCATTCATTGCGGATGATGGCCCGGAATCTGTGATTACTTCTTTAGAAGTTTGCCTCTTCTTATCCATGTGTCATTTCTCATTTAGAATGAAAGCGAAACCACTAAATTTAGCAGTACTTTATTGACAGGGACTTTCTCATAACATCAAACGAGAGCAAAAATCCAACAGCAAATAGGAAACAGTTTTGTAACCACAGATCAGACGATGCAATAGCATTTCATATTCGCCTCTTTTCAGCATACATCATAGGGTCCCGGTCGCTTTTTTCCCTGAAAGAGTATATGCAATAATAATAAACTTTTCTACACAAAGAATCTACACTAACCTTACGCTTTCTATTTATATCGTATCCCTAGGCGCGTATGTCACGTCTAAATGAAGGATGATTGATCTACTATAACTTAGAGCATTTCTACACTTAACAAGCCATTTGTAAGCCTTAAACTCTGTGTTCAGTAGATTCGATGATCAATAGACTCCAAACTTTGTTATATGTTTGCGAATAGAGACTCAGAATACTTGAACGAGACTGAAAGAAGGTGAAAACCTAAACCCACATCCATATCTGGAATGATATCCACGAAAGTCCCCGCGAAATGGGCTTTTCGTGCGAATAAAATGGACTTAGTCCATGCGGTGCGATAAGATATCGCATTCGCGAATACATTCATTCCATACAAAAATGCTTCAACTAACCTTTCTCCAACTTGTCTCAACCTGTTTGCTTACTCTTGCAAACTCATTTCCACCAAGTGGTCGATATCTAACTAGGCTGACCTAACATTACAATGTCACTCAAGTGGCTATTCTATTCTTTTCCACTTCGTTACACCTAACAGAATGCCATTCGTTATCGATGACTATGCATCTAAATCACTTCCAAGACTAAAATTCATGTAATGTCCGGGCCTTAGCTTCAAAATCTCTACGAATCAGCATTAAATCGGATTCATATGTGGAGATTTCTGCAAAAAGCAAACTTTGGCTGGAGTTGCACTGCAATCCGTGAACCAAAATGCTCCTTTCAAGAAACCTTGTACTACACTACAACTCAAAGGGTTTTTCAAGTCGCAAAAACTTTGAATCCCAAAAGATGACTTCGCAAGTGCTCTATATTAGCTTTTCTTTGTCTTTCAGCACTAATATTTGTAACTCTAAGGATTTGAATGTATGGACTAATCTAGTAAGAAATTTTTCACGGAATTTTTCTAGCTAGCTAGCGGCACTTCAGTAAGGCGTTTGAAATGCCGTCTTTGAGGTTCGGTTCTACGAGAATAATCAAAAGACAGCTTCTGAGTACTTGTATTAAAACGTGAATTTTTCTTATTCTCAAATACAAATCATGAATTTAGTTTTGGTTGATAATTTGAAGAATTAACAAACTTTGCTCGATTTACATAGGAATATTCGCATCGACCTGATATTTGGAAGCATTTGAGTTTGTTAGCGAATATTTTGGTGATCAACCTTCTTCCATGATTTTTACAGCGTTTGTATGAGTTTAAAAAGAAACATTATTTCAGACTTCATAAAAGACATGAAACTTATTCCACTCACCTATTACCTTAGGATAGGTTGAGGAACACATTCCCAAAAAATCGCCATCAAAAATATGCAAAAAGGTCAAAAATGGGCTTAGTCCCAGCTCACCTTGCTGCTGGGAGTAAAATGGGCTTTCAAGTCTATTTAAAATGGACGTAAATCCCATTTTGCCCCATTCTAAATGGACTTTTGAGGTCATCATTTCGCAAGCGAGAGCTCAGGTAGGGTTAAATCATTTTCATTTCACCGCTTTGCCTCGTGGTTGCGATGGGATGAAAATTTTTGGATAACGCGAGCGAAAGCAGATTCCGACCACTCTCCACCGCGAACGAATAAAATGGGGTTTGAAAGTCCATTTTCCTCCATTATGGACTTTCGTGGATATCATTCCTGGGCGTTGATTTGGCTGAAGCTCCCCTCGTTCGGCATGCCGCTCCAACTCCGATCTTCAGTAAAATGAAGAACACCCGTTTATTTCGAGACTGATAAAATGAAATTTTGGATATGTCAAAACACGAGGTAGCCATCAAATTTGAACGGCTTGAAGGCAATGGCTCGACAGGTTCTCGACTTGAAGTTTTTTTTGCTTACTTGAGGTAACTCGAGGCGCTGATTCCGAAAGTTCAATTTGAAGGGCGCGAAAATGGCAAAAACCACCATTTTCTAAGGTCTCCCATTTTAAATTTGGACGAGTGGAACACGTCCCGCCATGGTTTGAGAGGCGGAATCGTTGCGGGATCTTCGCAGTTATAACTTTGCGGCATGCCTCTTCTGACGGGTGGGGAGGATCGCAAGCTCGTCCGCGCCTATTAGAATTGCTTGAGCGTAACAGATTTAGGGCAGTTTTAGAAAGGGCAGCATCTCAGACAATCGCCGGGGGCAGGCGGGCACCGGAAAAATAGATTGCTGATCTCTCGCACCCCGCTCGCGGATTTTTTGGAAAGCAATCAGGACTTTTCGGAAGACGCTTGCTGAGTTCTCGATTCCTCAGAGATTCAGCAATATATCTGCAAAAGATAAGAGCGAAAAAAATTCAACAGGCGGTCTCTCAAAAATCCGCTGACTCAGCAAGCGGTCTTCCGAAAAGTCCCGATTGCTTTGCAAAAAATCCGCGAGCCGGGTGCGGAGATCAGCAATCTATTTTTCCGGTGCCCGCCTGCCCCCAGCGATTGTCTGAGACGCTGTGCGCTCAGACGTGCTCTGTTCTCATGTTTGGGGTGCAAGCAACCTTTTATGTCAAAATCTCGGGATGTTCGGCTTTGGCGAGCTGCTACCTTTAATGTCGCGCACTTTGATTGTAGGCCCGCGGCCGGTGATGCCGCTTCGGAGGTGGTTGAAAGCGTTCGCCCGGCATCTTTCGATTGTATACCGCCCTGCAGGTTGATTGATGGCCGCTAGCTAGTGTTTTTGACCGCCCGCCCGGTGATCCCAGATTGCAGGCTCGCCCAGTGACAGAGTGCGCTCGGCCGATGAATGCGGCCGCTCATCCGGGACTCTTATGGTGGCCCACCGCTCGTCCGGTAGTTTTGTCTGAGCAGTTACAAGTGCGAAGTTTACTTTATCAGAATGATACTATCGATTTCAATATCTACTGTCAAGAAATGAGTAACGCTAATAACATGAGTAACACCAGTAACACGAGTAACACAGGTAACACAGGTAACACGGAACACGAAACATGGGTAACACTAGTAACACGAGTAAACCGCTAACACGGGCAACGCGGATAAAGTATGGCCAAAGCTCTAGGATGGTATATATATTCAAGTCGGCGCTTTCGCAGTCCTCACAGGCTTGAAAACAACTCAAAGCATCACCTCCAACACCAGATCATCAGATGCCTCCGTGGACGACGAAGGCGCCGAAACGTTAGGCCGACTTGAATAAATATACCATCGTAACAAACCTGTACGGCATAGCAAGATTGGAAAGTATCAACAATGCCAAGGTTTGAGAAAAATGGATCTTGAAAATGATTACGAGAATTTTTTAGACTTTCTTGCGTCCGCGACATGCCGGATATGGCATCTATGGAAAAAGTGCAGCGTGCGAGGAAGAAACGATTACAGAATGTGTCCAAACCTGATTATACCCCAATAAAATCGATGGAATGCGCTCAAGGTAATAATTTGTTTTTTGGACCAAATAAAACTAAAATCTGGATTAGCATCTGCTTCGCTTTCCCTTTTCCAAAAAGAAATCGCATAAATTTCTGAAAGTGGTTGTCTTTCGTCAGGGTATGCGTAATTTGGATTGGGATAGCTTGATAAGTTTTCTTAGAATTGACCGCAAAACTAGGCAACTGCTAAAATTTAGCATCTCGACGAGTTCACCTCATGAAAACCCAAAAATCCTATTATACGAAAGCCCCGTACAGGAGACGTAGTGCCATCTATCTCGAATTTCCTTGCGTGTTTTCCTTGAGCGCTCTTAATCGGCGCGATCTCTCATGACCTTGTTCAGAAAAGATTCGAAATCAGCGTTTAATTGCCGCTGCGCTTTTTTTGCGACCAAACCACCTAAAATCGGTTATATTAAGTGAATGTTTGTTTGTCCGTCTGTATGTATGTACCAGTGGCGTACGAGGGGGACCCCCTCCCTCGAGAATGAGTTGCGAAATTTTTGGAAGTAACTTACACGAGTTATGAAAATGTGCAAGCGGCATGTTCATACTTGTAAGTAGTTGATATAATTTCTAAAAGTTTTCAAAATTCAATCTGCCCTTATAAAAAAATTTTGGAAGCGTGACTGCCGCAACGCTCCCTTTTTGTGAAATTTCGGGATTAAGATTAGTGGCGGCGCAGTGGCCGCATTCTCGCGCACTTTGCGCGAGAATATGCAAAAATTGTGGGCCGCACGGTTCTTTCTGAAGGACCGCACAGCCCTTAGGTACCCTTTGCTGAGAGAAAGTACCTCGAATTTGAGTAATTACACCATCGATGACACCTCTGCCACATAGAGTCTCACCTTTGCTAGGCGTCCAAAACCATGTAAAAAGAGTCCGAGCGCTTGTTGAAACTTTGGCCAGCGCTCGCTGAAAGAAGTTATTTGCCGAGCGCTCGCAGAATATGCTGTTTCGCTGCCCGCTGGCAGAATATGCGACAGTAAAGAAAGTACCGCCTGCTAGTTCTGCTGACCGCCTGCAGAAAAACGCGAGTTTGCGGACCGCCTGCCCCCGGCGATTATCTGAGACGTTGCGAGCTTGGCGTGACGTCGCGCTTAAAACAACGTAGCGCAGGCTTTCCCACGTTATTCTTGTTGCTACACCACGCCAAAGAATGCACGCAACGTGGCGCAAGCCTGAGGCGAGGTAGTGCCTCATCAATCCACGTAATTTACGTCATCTTGAGAAGAGACATGTAGGTTGATATTGAGGGTATATGTGCTGTTGTCATATGTGACAAAGTTGATAGCGGGAAATCACAAAGAACAGTGCCGTGAAGTAAAGGGTCAACAAGTTCACCAACGTGTTCAGATGTCTGCAAGTGCTCCGCCCAACGTACATCGGGGAGGCGACGATATATATATATATTGTATATAAAACTCAAAAATTGTTGGAGGGTATGTGCGTTATAGAAACACGCGCCGCTCAACCGATTTAGCTGAAACTTTGCACACATATGTTTTCGACCCCTGCGTAGCGGATAGGTTACTTTTCACGGCGATTCTCTGGGTCCTTCTATCGATTTATTGATTTGTTTACGTTTTTCTTAAGAGAAGAAGGCTTATGACGTTTAATCAAGCATTTTTCGAAATTCGTAGAGCATGTTCCAGCCAACGTCCTGAGCTCAAATTTCGCATAGCACTTGCTACTGGCATGAAAGTCCAACATGCAAAAGCACAAGCAGATTCGTTGAGTGGGTCTTTCAGAAATTGCGGGTCAAACGGATCCACTGTGCAATTGGCTCACAAAATTGGGTCCGTAATTCCACTTTTTGCAGAGTGGCGGACGTTTATGGCAAGGAAATGAGCAAGCAGACCCGAAAAAGTGATCAAAAGTCCATTACTTTACAAAAACGGCGCCAAAAAAGTATTGGTTGCTTAAATGGTCAATTTGCCAAGGTTTTATCAGAGCATTTGACGAAACTTTTGCACAAAAATGTAGCTCACGGTGACTACTGTTCGTAAGGCAACTGCCAAGAGCATACGAGAATCAAAAACCAATAAAAATTTGCGTTTGTTCTCCTGCCAAAAGTTTCATCCACGCGAACGATTTCACATAATTTCTTCGTGATACTCGGCATTGCTTGGTAAGTTTCAATGCCATCATTATGCGAAAATGAGTGGGGCCTAAGAGCCAGTGCGAGCCTCTGCGAAGCAGAGGTGAAGTACTGGTAACATATAAGAGGGGGGAGGGGGTTGTAGTGCGGTGACCCGTGGCTCGGGCTGGACCGGGAAAGCCAACTATTCTTATATATAAAGCTGAATGTCTGTCTGTATGTCTGTATGTCTGTACGTATGTGCGGAATAGAAATTTTTATTTCTGAACCGATCGGGACCAAACTTGGCACACATATACTTCGGGACAGGGAGCGTGTCATAGGCTACTTTTCGTTATCGATCGATATCGATTTTATCGATTTTTTGCAAAATTTGAGCTACAGGGCTGGGAGTTGGCACAGGGGGGGGGTAATCGAGCATGCTGATTACAAATATATTATTGACAGGACCGGGCGGAGCCGGGTTTGCCAACTAGTAGTATATAAAGCTGAATGTCTATTTGTGTGTATGCATGTGTCTGTGCGCATGTTCCAAATACAGACTTTTATTTCTAGACCGATCCGGACCAAACTTTGCACACATACTTCGGGACGGGCGAGTGTCGTAGACTACTATTCGTTACTGATCGGTATTGATGTATCGGTTTTATTGGTTTTCTGCAAAGTTTGAGCGGAACTAAATTTTGTTCACTCCGTTGCTGTGGTTCTCCGTTAGCCTCCTTTCTCTCACACTCGACAATTAGCGAGCTAGATTACCGTGTTTTTGTAGTAGAGCCCATTTCGATAACAATCCACCCAAAGGGACCGTGTTGATGCGTACAGCTCCACCATCATCGACACATCTTCGCTTCAAGACAAAATTTTTATACTCTCTTATAGATTTAGCAGCAGAACTCAGTGAACTTCATGATATAGTTGGAAAAAATGGAAGTGCAAGTGTGATGAACTGCCCAGGCAAGCTTCTCTCATCGTCACTGTAACATTGAAGTAGATGGGTTTGTTAAGGTCTCGCTGAAGACATATTGACTGCAATCCTCATGGACGAAGAAAACCAAGATGGTTTCTACGATGTTCCACTTTGAAGTTGTAACAATGATAATGTGTAAATCTTGCATTAGTAACGAAACAGTACTGCCATTTATGAATTGTGGATGGTCATATAAGGACTGTCAATAAAGTATAATCAATTTCGATAACAGTGAATAGAGCAAAATTCAACTAAAAGAACTAGATAGATAGAACATACATTGTGTTCCGGCCACCTTTTCGTAGATATCCGCGCGGCCACACGTAGCGCGAAAAGCTTGATGCTCCTCAATTCGCTACTAATCTGTAAGTTTTATGTTGAAGATGGAAACCTAACACAATTAGATCAGGCAGTGTTCTTCAATATAGTGATCAACTTTTGGCCATAGAACCAAAATTTCTGGATAATAGAAGCCAGTGCAGGATCTTAATAAAGATGATCTATCAAGGGAAAGTTCCCAAGTCAGCTCAGCCAATCCGGATGACTCATATATCATCGTAACGGGCTTGAGATGCTGATTCCAAATCTGCTTTTTCTTTTTGCGCAGCAACTCTCCGAAGGAAGTTACGAGCTTTTAAATGTCTAAATTTGTCATGTTCAAAGTGGCTTAAAATCAATTGAAAGCTGTAAAACAACACGTAACGGAATTTCATTATCTGTGTTCCGCCCTTGTTATCAATATACTTGATACAAAACTGCTAAATCACTTTCATGTGTTATAGTACAGGTTTCGCCAATTTTTGAGCCACTTAAAACATGACAAATTTAGACTTTTAAACGCTCATACCTCCTCTCGGAGAGTTGCTCCGCAGAAACGGAAAGCGGGTTTGGAATCAGTGTTTCAAGCTCGTTACGGTGATATATGACTCATCCGGGTTGGCCGAGCTGACTTGGGAACTCTCCCTCGTAAGACCAATGAAGAAAATCATTGAAACTCTAAGTATAACAATAAGTAAGATTGGCATCTACTGACTGGTCTTTGTTCGTTTTTAATTTCATCTGTCAGTTCACTTCGTTGTTTGAATTTCATTCACTGAACAAATTAACATGAATTACAGTCTTTTTCAACCCGGAGTAGGCGAAACATTCCCGATGGAGCACCGCGTCCGCACGCTGCTGACTCAGCGAGAGAGACCAGATTGAAGAGACGCAGACTCAAAGCGGCGCGAATCGTTGCGAAGCGGAATCCCGCCAGTCCAATTTCCGTCTAAACTGAGTTGAAACTTACTATACCTTGCTTCTTTGACAAAAGGTATAAAAACGTATAAAAACAGTGAAAAATATGTAAAAGTATCAACATCCGCTAGCATGTGCTAGCTCATGTCCCCTTCATACTTCCAGATACAGTCTAAAATTCCGGCAAGACCGGACGATGACTGGTCCTACTATACCAAGGGTTCCTTCATACTACGCCGCAAATATGTCGCTGCAGTCGCAGTGAAAATGCGCTCATGGTAGCACAGTTTCGCTGCTTATCGATGTATTTCTAGATCTGCACCTTTGTGTTCTTCTATGTAGAGTATTTTTTCGAAGTTTGCAATCTTTTATTTTTCTTTTGCTTTTCCTCATCGCCAATCAAGTGATCCTTCATTCATGTTTTGATTTTGTGTGCGCGACCTCGACTTTGATTTTGCACAGTTTACTTCATACTACGCCGCAGCACGCAGCATACTGCGTGCTGCGGTGTAGCACGAAGGAACCCTAACGCGCTAAGGCCGTCTGCTTGTCCGTTTCTGTGAAAATCTGCCTCATGCAACGTTTTCATTGTCCTTATGGCAACTATCGCGCCAAAGTAGAGTGGCAACTCAAACCACATTTATTCTTCTGCGGAAAAGTTCCTACCTCTCAAAGTTAACCTCGACTCATTTGTAACTCAATATGTGAGATTGCACAATAAGCCCTATTAGCAACGGCACCCATACAAGTAACTTTGCAGTAAAACATTTTCCAGCCTAACAAAATGTAGAAATTGTTCTACAGACTAACATGAAACCAACTAAAATAAAAAAAACAAGGAGAAGTCACCAGAAATGAGCAGATCTTTTCACAGTTCGCCACCTAGCGTGTAAGTGTGGGCTACGCATATTAAGGGCCGCATGCACTAACATCCCCGCGGGGAGGGGATCGCAGCTTAAAAGAAAGCTTTATATTTCAAAACTCCAGATACCTGGATTTCACGTTGTGTAAATATCCGCGAGCATTCCTATTACCCTTCACTATGAACATGTTGAAGAGGAGCGAGAAGCTGTACGAACCGCATTTTCCAGCTTTTGTATGATCCCTGATGATCCCCGGCGCTTTTCTTTGAAGTCGTTTTTCTTTCTCCGAAGTTAACGAAAACCTTCCAAAGTTGTACTGAACATCTAACACAATAGTGCTAAGCATGTTGCTGATGAGAACAAATGATGTTTTGAAGTCATGAAATTTGCGATGATCCACAGGTCGAAATTTGAGGCTTACCGAAAAATTCGACTTTTCAAAAAGTCATTTGTTCTCATCAGCAACATGCTTAGCAGTATTGTGTTAGATGTTCAGTACAACTTTGGAAGCTTTTCGTTAACTTCGGAGGAAGAAAAATGACTTTAAAGGAAAGCGCCGGGGATCATCAGGGATCATACAAAAGCTGGAAAATGCGGTTTGTACAGCTTCTCGCTCCTGTTCAACATGTTCATAGTGAAGGGTAGTAGGAATACTTACGGATAGGTAGACAGCGTGAGATCCAGATATCCGGAGCTTCAGGATATGAAGCTTCCTTCTGAAGCTGCGATCCCCTCCCCGCGGGGATATTAGTGCATGCGGCCCTAAGTTACAAATGACTCAACGATATGTATCTCATATGGAAAAGCTGTAGGAATGAGTTGTTTACAATTCATCCATGTGATCAATTCTGGGCGGTGAGTTTCAGAGTCACTATCAGGAAACGACAATTGGAATACTCGAGGGTTTTTGAGCCCCCTCTCCATCGCTCATGTTATTTATTTATTTATTTATTTACGTAAACAGTCGATTCCAAAAAAGATCACACAACATAAGTACAGTTTGGACTCAAACAATCGACATAAAAAAATCTTGCTGCCTTTTGAAAAGTAATGTGCATCCCATTGTTTAAATGCCAGCGAGCTTGCGGGCAAAAGCTAGCTGACTTAGTCCTCAAAAAAGAATCTCTTTTTAAATAAGCAGCAGGATCAGGACAATAAGGAAAATGATTCGCCATAAACAAAATTTTTTGTGCAAAAAAAGACATAAACTATCAATAAAAATACACAGAGGAGAAGAATACATAGAAGATAAAAAAAGGTACAGAGGTGCTGAATGGTAATTTTGGCGTTTTGAAATAGCTGGTCGAAGATCAGTAATAGTGATCCAATAAAGCGTTTTTTACTCCGTTCTGTAAAAAAATGTTGTTAGAAGAATCCTTTAGATTTCAAGGTTTTTTGAACTTCTCTGTTGAACACAAATGTCGATGAAGCTTTAATCGCCGTTACTGGAAGCTTGTTCCATGTGTTGATTATGCGTATCGGAAAAGAGTCATGAAATGGCTGTGTTTGCACCTTTCCTATGATAAACCTGAAGTCATGTCCTCTAGTTATAGCATTAAGGTTGGATAATACGAAAAAATCGTGCATCGTGAGATAGATTCTTTTAGTCATAATCTTGTAGACGAGATTTTGATCATAAATTGTTCTTCTGAGTCTCAAAGAGGTAGTGGTAAGTATAGAAAGTCTTGATTTTTATGACACATGGAAATGCCCAGCTCTTGCAAATATTCGTGCAGTGAATGACTTCTGCACTCTTTCTAAGGCGTCAATTGCATTTCTCTTAGTTGGAGACCACAAAGGTGTACAGTATTCTAGCATAGGACGGACGTAATTGACAAAAAGCTTGAAGAGAGTTTGAATTTTCGTCGTTCTAAAGGCACGTAATATGTAGTTACATCGAGCATGGGCATTTCTTGTAATTTCATTTATATAGTCGTCAAAATTGAGGTTGTCAGAATAGGTAATGCCAAGGTCTTTTATGGAGTTTGTCACTCGAATCTTTTGACCTCCTATGTAATAAGTGCACGGTCGTGGATGTTTAGCTCCAATAAGCATGATATGTGTTTTCTCGACTGAAATGTCAAGGTCCCACTTCTCAGACCATTCTACCACCGCATCTAAAGCTTTTTGCATCAGCCGAGGGGAATTGCAGCAGTATAGTTTGGTATCATCTGCATAAATAGAACAGGTGACACCATCAGGAAGAGCTAATGGTAGATCATTTATGTACAGCAAAAACATGAGAGGCCCTAAGCAGGTCCCCTGAGGAACTCCGCTACTTGTTTGATACGTAGAAGACAAGGATTCATTGACTATGACTTGTTGAGTACGATTTGATAGAAAAGATTGGAGAAATTTCAGAAGACAACCTTTCACTCCATATGCATTGAGTTTGTTGAAAAGTAGTTCTAAATTTACTGAATGAAAAGCTTTCTTGTAATCTAGATAGCATACGGTAATGAATCCTTTTTCATTCATTATCTTATGCCATATTGATATAGTGGACATGAGAGCTGTAAGTGTCGATCTTTTAGGTAAAAATCCATGTTGTGCTGCATTTATGAGTTGGTTATTTCCGAGATATTTGCAAATTTGTTTGCAAATTATTCTCTCAAACACTTTGCTAACTGAAGAAGTTAGGCAGATGGGCCTATAGTTCTTGGGTTGCAATCTGTTGCCTTTTTTGAAGATCGGTTTCACGATCGCTGTACGCCAAAGTGCTGGGGTTTCCCCGTGGAGTAAGAATCTTTGGAAAAGAAGGCTGAGGGCAGAAGAAATGCCAAGCGCTGCTTTTCTCAGAAATATGTAGGGAATTCCATCAGGTAACGTAGATCTTCTAAGAGGTAATTTTTTCAAAATTTGGTAAACAATGTCACCAGTGATATCCAAAAAATCAATTTTCTCATTTGTAAACTGTGGACATTGGGTTTTAACATTTGTAGGTTTTTTGTAAACGTTCTTAAAAAATACGGCGAATGCTTCAGCTTTTTCTTTATCTGATTTACATATGTTACCTAATGAATCATAGATAGTTCCAATATTGTTTGTCACCTTTAGGTTTTGATTACAAAAGCGAAAGAAATTCTTGATATTACGGCTACGTGCAATGGCATCTTCC